TTGCAAATTAATTGTATCTGAATTGTGATCTATTGGGCCGACGATTGGTTCCGAGAGTTTGGCCGGCAGTGAAGCGGTTACTTATGGGTTGTATTTCATTGATTTGCCGCAACTGTGCGGCCAATAGTTCCGATGTATTGTCCAGTCGGTAAGGCGTGGACCGGAAGGTCGGCTGGGAATCGACTTCAAACTCATTGACCGATTGGGAAAGTATACTACAACTCATGGGGAGGCCGTCTAAGAGTCGGTTGTGATATGTTTGACACGCATTCTTAGCGCTCATTGAGTCCTCGTATACAATGAATACCATTGAACTGTTCACACGTGAGGTGCGAACCATTGGTCCGATTTCGCCAAACAGTTCCTGTAATTCAATGTAATTTCAATGATATGTCCGTTAAATGAGTGCTAATTGTTTACATTTATGTCTTCAATAGTAATGCTTGGGTTTAGGTTTGAAACCAAAACTGTGTTCTTTGAGTCGTCGGCCAAATATGGATTGTGACGGACGGGTGTCGAGGAAGCCGTGCTATATCTGCCGACGCCCGATGTCTGCGGCATCAACTCAACCATCTGTTCATTGGATGCAAACATACATTAATATTGAGTAAATCTATTACAGTATCTCCTCTTTGGGCAAACCTGAGGCATAATAATGGGTTGAGTGGACGACACGGTTGTCTGTCGCTGTTGTTTGGGTTCAGTTCTGGTTCTGGTTGTGGTCCTTGTATTGACCGAAATGCCAGAATTGTCTCTAAGTTGAGACAAATTGACAGAAACTCTTGGCATTCGTTGGTCTCCAACTAAAGTGACTCTTTTGCCAGACTTAAGATCAATTGACAGGACATAAGCAAAACATATAAACCGTATAATCAATAAATGGCATTAAATGTCAATACTTGTGACACTTGTGGTCGAGTCTGCGAGTGGTATGCCTTAAGCCGTGGACTGACGAGCGATCGCTTCCCGCTCTGACCACCAAATCGATTATCATTGGAGATCTTTTGTCGCAAATCTCTCACCACTTGTCTCCCATTCCTCCCGAGCCGTGTCTTCGCCTTAAATCTTCTCAATTGATTCAATCGTTGTCTCGCATCCATTATAACCACACTTTTGGTCAACAATTTGTGTATAATTTATCAAATGATTGATTTCTTAATGAAAACCAGTTATTAATGTTTGAAAACAATTTTCATCCCTTTTTGTGAACAAAATTATAAACAATAATCAATCGATTGTTCATTAAATACGTGCCTATAATACATACCAAATATCTGTCCCCCGACTCCCCCTCCGCTTAAACTTACGATTAAATCCTTAATTAAAATAAATTAATATTTAATTTCATTATATAATTAATAAGCAATAAATCAGTTTTAATACTTATTAATCAATATTACTTTCATTAACTAATATTCAAAGCATTGATTTAATAAAACAAATATTAATGTTTTTATGCGACAATAGCTGTAGTATTGCAACACTTATTGCACTTTAAGGCAAAAGCATTGAGTATTTTATTGCCAAACAATAATTGTGTGCAAAACGTCTCAAAACGTAATCATTATTTGGTTTTTGAAATTTTAATCCAATTTTTCGATTCATTTAATCATTTATTTATTGATTTGTTTTTTAAATAAATTGTAACAAAAGTTTTGATGAATTGAATGGAGAAATGAAGTGAAGTGTGAATTGAAAATCAATTGTATTTTTTTTTATTTGTTTCGTTCATTTGAAACAATGATTGAACCGAAAGAGGAGATAATGAGCGACGAAGAGGTGGTCGCCGACGAGACACCGGCGAAGAAGGAGAAGAAGTGTCAGAAGAAGTTCACCAAAATATGCATCGATTTGGCGGCGATTCCGAGTGTGGAAGTGGAGGAACAGGACTCGGAGTTACGGGGTTTGGGTATAACTGCTTTCGACCAACGAGTTTATGAGGAGAATGTGATGCTTCAGATGGACAGAGCCCTCCAAACACAACAGACACCACAGACTGATGGACACACTTTGCCGCAAGTATCACCTCTCGACTCAATCGGTGGCAACAGTTCCGCGCTCTTAGACGTAAAGTCCGAACCATTGGATGAGTTGAGCGAAGATTTAAATGATAACAGCTTTGAGTATTTCACGCGACGCCCCGTGAAGACTGAATCAGTAGATGAGTCGAGCGATTGCGAGGTTTATGACAATAATTTGGACGACGAGAAAGAGGACGAAGAAGTAGACGTTGAGGACGAGGATGTATGGGAACCAACGCGTGAAGACTATGAAAGTGATGAACACTTAGAATCAGACGACAACTACTACTCTGAGGAGGAATTGTCGGAAAGCGGTGGACGGGTTGTCGCGAAAGTGCGAAAACAGAGAAAACCCAAAGAATTGAAGTCACAGACCAAACGAGTGGTTCGGCAGCGAGTGGTCGACGACGGGAGCGATAAATGTTTTGAGAAGAGAATTAAGTGAGACTTGAATTGAATTGTGAGAAAAAGAGTTGATTTTAATTATGAATTGGTTTGCAGAGAGTATAAGAAACAACGACTCATTGAAAAACACGATAACATACGAGCGGACGGAACAGAAGTGAAGAATTTGGATGAAATGGTAAAACTAGATAACGGGTTGAAAATACCTCAACGCATTTGGGAACAACTCTATCCCTACCAACAAACTGGTGTTCAATGGCTTTGGGAACTGCATCGCAACGGTTGCGGCGGTATTGTTGGCGACGAAATGGGTTTAGGAAAGACCATTCAAGTCATTGCATTCCTCTGTGGTCTGAGTTGTAGTCGATTTCACGACTTTCGAGATTCGTATAATACTTTAGGACCAGTGATACTCGTCTGTCCGGCCACTGTTATGCACCAATGGGTGGCCGAGTTTCACAAGTGGTGGCCTTATTTCCGAGTCGCTGTTCTTCACCAGACGGGCAGTCATTGCGGCAAAAAGGATGCACTGATTCGAGCCATCAATAGATCGAATGGCATTCTTATCACTTCCTATTCGGGTGTCTGTAGTCATCAGAAATCACTGCTCAGACTTGACTGGCATTACGTGATTCTCGATGAGGGCCACAAAATCCGCAATCCAGCGGCTCAGGTATGTGGACATTGTCGAGACAATTATAGTGATTGTATTCGACGAGTAAATAATGATTGCATTATTAGGTGACTCACACCTGCAAACTCTTTTCAACGCCTCATCGGTTAATACTGTCGGGATCTCCCATTCAAAATAATCTGCGAGAGTTGTGGTCACTCTTTGATTTTATATATCCGGGAAAGTTGGGAACATTACCCGTGTTTATTGAGCACTTCTCCATTCCCATAACAATGGGAGGCTATGCCAATGCAACTCAAGTCCAGGTATGCGTCCAAATGTTGACAATTTTAAAATAAATTCATCTCAATTTGACCGTACATTTGAACATCAGATTCAAGTGGCGTTCAAAATGGCCACTATATTGAAGGACACGATTCAGCCGTTTTTGTTGCGCCGAACGAAACTGGAAGTGAATAGTTGTCTGAGTCTGCCGTCAAAGAACGAACAGGTCTTGTTCTGCAAACTCACTGATGAACAAAGAGATCTCTACAAGAACTACATCGAGTCGGCGACTGTCAAAGACATACTCAGAGGAAGCACTCAGATATTTGTTGGTCTCATAAATTTGCGCAAAATATGCAATCATCCGAATCTGTTCGACAAGAAGGCTTCGGATATCAATCTATTGCGAGACGATTCCCGATATTATAAGAGATCCGGAAAGTTACGAGTGGTTGACGTTTTGCTCCGCCTTTGGCACCAACAACAGCATAAAGTGCTTGTATTCACACAAAGCAGACAAGTATTGAATGGTTTATTACAATTAGTTATTTGTATTTAATAACTGAATACAATGTCTTGAATGAACAGATGATGAAAATTCTCGAACACTTTTTGAGATACAAGAGCTATACCTACTTATTGATGGACGGCTCGACTTCTGTGCAGTCCAGACAACCACTCATTAAGCAATTCAATGAGGTTTGTGTCGATTAAATGTATTGACTGCTAATTAATGACCATATTGTTGTCATTGTTGTCAATATTAAGGACCCGAATATATTTGTGTTTCTACTAACGACACGCGTCGGCGGTATTGGTGTGAACCTAACGGGTGCTAATCGGGTGTTAATCTATGACCCGGACTGGAATCCAAGCACTGATATTCAGGCGAGAGAGCGCTGTTGGCGTATCGGCCAAAACAAAGCCGTCACTATTTATAGATTATTGTCCTCTGGAACTGTTGAGGAGAAGATATATCAAAGACAGATATTTAAGCAATACTTAACTAATCGCGTCTTAAAAGATCCGAAACAAAGACGATTTTTTAAAACCAACGATTTATACGAATTATTTGCATTGTCTTCCGATTCAAACACCACTGAATCGGATGCTGTGTTCGCCGGAACCGATTCCGAAGTCAAAGTGAATCCGAAGGCCAAGAGATTGAAAACAAAGTCTACAAATACTGCATCAAATAGTGATAACATAAATACTAGCCATAAGTCAGAACTCTCTGCTGAAAAAGTGCAAGAATTGAGAAATAGAGCAAAACTTTTAAGTCAAATGATTGCCAGAAAATTTGCGAATAAAGACAACACAAACAATGAGACCAATAGCTCGTTGGGCGAGAGCTCGAGACAGAGTGATAGCCAACAGAAAATTGTCTCAAATGATGTCTCGACGTCTTTGCGAAGTGATTCCAACCCGAAATCGAATCGCAAGAAAACGAAAAAAGGCACCAAATTTGAAGGAAAACGGATTAAATATTTGGTAAAACAAGACGCCTATAAAGACAAGAATGAAAAGGAATCCAAAGCGGAGGACGAATATGTGCTGAAGAAGCTGTTCAAAGGATCCAAAGTTCAAAGCGCTTTACAGCACGACATCATTGAGAATCCAATGGCTCCTGATTTTGCGATCGCAGAGCGAGAGGCGGAAACTGTTGCTAAACAAGCGATTACTGCGCTTAAGAAATCGCGAGAACTCTGTCTAAGCGGTCGGTCAGTCGCTAACCCCTTATCAGGTTTTAAGTTTGGCTCAAAGTTTGGACAAAAACGTAAATTAGGTAACAATAGTGAGACTCCTGTCAACAGTAGTTCTTTGATTAATGACATAAAGAAACGAACAAAATTCGAGACCGAAGACAATGATTCCGATTCTGAAGATAATAACAACAGTAATTTGAATCCAATTCCTCTAAACCCTGAATACGAGACACTTTTGTCTGATATCCGAACTTACATTGCATTTCAATGTAAGAGTAGAGTTGGCAATAGCGGTGAGGCCTCGACTCAAGAGCTGTTGGACGCCTTTAAAGACAAATTACCGCCAAATCAGAGCGCAATCTTCAAGTCTATGCTCTACCAGTTGTGCCAATTCTACCGAACATCTGATGGCATAGGCGTCTGGAAACTCAAACCTGAATTCCGGTGATATTTACAAATTCATAATCAATTAATAGGGTTTAAATTTGTTGCAAATTATTTTTTAAGTCTTTTAAATGCTTATATATTTTACGAATCATTGAAACCATTGTTTTGAATGAAACCCAAAGAAAAAACAATTGAATAAAATTTGTTATTTTTCATTCATTTGTGTTACGATTATTTCACGCATCATATCATTAAGAATTGGTTTTCTTTAATGTCTGGCTTTCCCTGCAATCCATATGTGGGTCAGAGCTCTATATGTGTGCAATGCGTTTGCATTGCATTTTTAATGCATAATTTGTGACTATCTATGGCTCAAAAGTAGGTGAAACACAACCGGATTTGAGTCGTAAACTTGAAAATCACTCCAATTTAAGGTCTAATTCAGAGAAAAGATCCAAATATAACTTGTGGTGCAATCCAGAGATAATTACGGCTTTGAAAAAAGTCCGATTCTTTTCCAAGTTATTATCTAAACAAGTGTTTGATATCTCATAAACACATTTAGCCTCAAGTTTTCGTTTCGATTTCTCAGACACTTTTCTCCGATTCCTTTTCAAACTTTCTTCGTGTTATAAAATACAAACAATATTTCAATTTAAACTAATTTAAACATTTCAATTTAAAGCATATCACCCATAAATAGCATATCATATCATTGATACATTGGAAATTGGTATTTACATTGGAAATTATTTTAAACCTAAAGAAATGCACTAAAAAACAATTTATTAAAAGTTAAACATTTAAGGATTAGCAACGGTTTAATTTGTATGGTTTACAAGATGTTGACTAATATTTTTGAGAGTGAATTGCATTTTGTTTTGTTAGATGTAATCGAAAGCTTAAATGACAGCAAAATTTATACTCGATTTCAATGAAGAATCAAAATAAGACTTAAATGTATAACTTCTTAGTAGAAGTGAAAAAAGTTGTTTGGATTTTCCCGTTTCGTAGAAATTTTCACTTTAAATGTTTTCCATATTATGTAAACCAGAAGTTCATTAAACGATTGGTTTTTTGTGTTGACCTGCTTTTTGACAATAGCATTGGCTTTACATAACAACACCGGTATATAAACTTATTCTCAGAGCTAACTGTTCACCACTTCTTTAATCGGATTCACAACTTTTCAACTAAATCTAAACCGTTATTGTTTGGGATCAGCACTCATTTGAAACACCAAAATGTAAGTCAAATATATTTATTGTTTCACTTCTACAGCGAATCCTTTCAATCAAAATATTGATTTTTAATAAAGTCTTATTATAAATAAATATAACATTTATTCTCTAATTTAGAGTTTTTAGTACAATATTTATGTCACAAAATTGTAAAACAATATTTATATATTAGTTTATTTTAAACTATTTAATATATTCCTAATTAAAAATATTTAGTTTAGTTTATAATATTTAGTTAAAAAACTTTTATTTTATTTCAAAAGTACAATAAAGACCTAAACCAAGAATGAATAAATACTTCCCGATTCTTCCCATTTCTATAACTTTTCTATTATGTGTTCCACAGCTTTGACTCTTAAAGAAATAATAAAAGTTATAAAACAATTGAACAGATATTTAATGAATAGCAAAATAATAGTAAAAAGGAAAGTATTTTGACATAAATTTTATTATTTTAATTTCAGATTATATTCAAAATCTTTGGAGACTTTCATTTCGTTTTAAGTTATTTAGAAGTGAATATCATTTTTAAAAATGATATTTTATTATACGATTGCTTTGGTTATAATCCAAAGCTTATACCACACGAGTAGAGCCGAACAGCAATGGTTTCACGACTCAAATCTGAATTCAAATAACGAGAGCTCATCTGATAAACCATTTTTTATAACAATCGATGCAAACAATACTTCAGATGAATTGAATCAAAACCAAAGCCAAATTGATTTTGGATATTCAGGAAGAAGTGCCAAATCACTGGATTTAGAAGATGTTTACAAAAGTCTTTCAGATCGCGGAAGAGAGGGAAGAATTATCAACGATAAGGAAATTTCGATCAAAGGTTTCATTCCTATAATGGGTTTTAGTAACGATAAACACGATTCGGATAACGAAGAGAAGCCACCAAAAGATGACTATTTTGATTATCAACGCTATGCTAATCACAACCCAAATCCAAAGCCATCGCACACTCAAAAGCATGTGCCGGCTCAGGAAGACCAGAGAGGACCACTCGGGGCAGCACTCGGTGCCACTCTCGAGGGATTAACAGCGAGTTTGGCGGCTAAACCGTCCAGAAAACAAGGATTTGGTTACCAATACGAAGCGCCGGCTCCCGCTAACGGGTTGGGACCAAACGGTGACTGTATTTGTGTCCCCTTTTATATGTGTAAAAATGGATTCTTAGTCGAAGCGAAGAATTCTGGTTCCAAATCAGGCAACATTCAAACGGCACAATCAATCATAAGTCAGTTCACAATCCCTGCACCGCATCCTCACAACCAACGAAGAAAGGAAACCAAACCTCAAAACCAATTCGCGGTCGCAACCAATTTGCAGCCAGACTTTCAACAATACCTTCCATTAGATGAGAGAAGTACTGGCGATCTCTTAACCGATGCAAATGAACAGTCATTTTCTCAGTCATATCCCAATAATAATAATGTAAGTTAATGTTATATACATTATAAAGTATTATTAGAATTAATTTACATATGTTTACTGATTTATTCAATAAGTTTATAATGTTAATATAACTTATTTTATATATATTTGTGAATATTATGATAACCAACAAAAATAGTTGTTCTAAACCTGAATTATTTTGATTCAATAGAGTGCCCCTCAATATGCGGACGATGTATTGGCCCGTATGTTAGGCGTTAGGTCTGAGGGATGCGGTGTTTTACGGACGTGTTGTAGACCACAACCCATTCCTGAATTTGATTTCAATGATTTCCAACACTCAGTGGGATATCCATCAGGCGGTGAGGGGTATCCGAGCGGTGCAATCGGATATCCAAGCGGTGGCTTTCAGATACCAGAAAACAATGATTTTATCAAAAGATTTACGAACCCGTATCAGCCAAACATTCAACACATTCCTGATTACGCTAAGCCTCAGAGACCACACAAATACGACTTTCCTCCGCAGCGACCCATTCAGACCATAACACCCTATCCCTCACAAGTAGTTCAAGCGAGTTATGACTACTTACCAAAGCCTTTAAATCCAAATCAGGGCTCCTTCGCAAACGTTCCCATCCGTCCCTTAAGTCCACAAATTCCAGTTCCGCTAAAACCTAATTATCCATCGATTCAACCCTTAAGACCACAGCCTATGCAACCCATATATCCGAGTCAATCCAGTCATAGCCCACAACTCTCCTCTCAACACATCGATAGCTTTGGAGGATATGGTAATTGTGGCAAAAGACATGCCGTAGGAATTCACGGAAGAGTGCAGAACCTTCAATATCACGAAAGTTCGACCGAATTTGGGGAGTTTCCGTGGCAGGTGGCCATCCTTAAGAGATTAGGTCCCGCAGACAGTCTCTATGTGTGCGGCGGTGCACTTATTTCACCCAATTTTATCGCAACGGCAGCTCATTGTCTCAAAAAGTAAAACTTCTGTCGAATATTATTATTAAATCAATACTTTAACGCATCTATTCTTAATCAATAGATACGGTCCGCAGGATCTGAAAGTAAGACTCGGAGAATGGGATGTCCACAGAGAGGACGAGTTCTATCCATATGTGGAGAAGTTTGTCGACGATATTATAATACATCCGGACTTCTTCGCGGGCAGTCTATTGAACGACATCGCACTCATACGGCTCGACTCGGCGGTCGATTTGCGTAACTCTCCACACATCGCACCCATATGTCTGCCCGAACCGCACGAACACATTGCCGGCCGATGTTTTGTGAGCGGTTGGGGTAAGAATGCGTTCGGACATCAGGGAGAGTTCCAGAGCGTACTCACCAAAGTAGACCTCCCAGTCCTCAACCCGGGAGAGTGTGAACACGCCCTGAAACGGACCCGTTTAGGGTATAACTATCAGTTGCACCCGAGTATGATCTGCGCCGGCGGTGAACCGGGAAAAGACGCCTGCGATGGCGACGGCGGCAGTGGTTTGGTATGCGATATGAGAGGTGTGTGGAAAGTGGTAGGTCTGGTCAGTTGGGGCATTGGCTGCGGACAGCCCGGTATTCCCGGTGTCTACACAAATATGGCTTATTTGAGGCCTTGGATTGATAGTCATGTGTTGCGCTTTGGGGCCGGTTTTGGGCAACAGTTTAATAGTTTTGAACCAGAATTTGGAGGTATTGATGAAAGAAGTTTTGCCGGAAGTCATAACACAACACAAACTGAAGATATGGAAAATAGAGAGAAGAAATCTCTTGATCTGAATGCAAATTCCACCACAACTTCTTAAATTTCTCTGAGTTTTGCAAACAGTTATTCATTTAATGAATAGAAAAGTATATTTAATTTTGTAAATATTCCGTATATGTATTCAAACATAAACTATAGTATTCTGTAATATAATTATTATATGAAAATTGCAGTCAAATATCTGTATATTTTCTTATTTTCATAATTATTTTAATTATACATAACTTAATAACTTATTTTCTTATAAACTGATTGATAACACCATTTAATAAACAGCATCTCATTAATACAATAAACATGTACTGTATATGTGTTAAAATATATTTCCTGATAAATTAATCAATAAAATTTAATGTATAAAAAACTATAAACAAGATTTTGCTTTTCACCAAATTCTGGATTAAATTGACAATGACTTCATAAATAGAATCCCTCACAGAATATATGGCTAATAAACTTATTATTTATGTAGAAATTTATGAACAGTGTTTAAAAAACAAAATTAATCATTTTAATCGACAGTCCTATCTGTGGATCAGTTCAGTACTAATCATAGATTCAGTTTAATGTATTGCTGTTATTGTAAAGATTTGTTGTTACTATTTGTAAATCTTTCCTATAATTTAATGATTTTGCAGTAAAACTCAATAAAATCTTAAATTTAATTTATGTCTTCACTCCAGAAGAATATTTTATTTTTGAGCCAAAAATAAAAAGTCAGTTATCTTTAAAGTTGAGTTATATTTATCATAATTTAAATTAAAATTAAATATATTTTTTACTCAATCGCAAGAAATATGGTTTCAATGTATTGTTGTGTTTAAGGGGTATATAAAGAGAAGTCATTTCAAAAATGAGTCAATCGTTAGGAAAATTTAAATTTTTGTAAATATCACAAAATTTTGAGTCAGAAATGAAAGCAATCGTTGAAATCGATTCCGAAGAGGAGACGACATCTCCGCTGCGATCGGGCGGTGAAGTGATTGAGAGTCGACGCCGGCGTCGAAGCCGTTCGGGTGGCAAATGCCGAAGACGTCGTTCCCGTTCTGGTCGTCGACACCGAAGACGCGGTCACTCGAAGGGCGGCCGAAGACGCAGAAGGAGAAGGAGATCGCGCTCTGGAAGTGAAGAAGAATGAGATGTCTCTCCTCTCTAAAGACTCAGTGTTTCGATTCAAAGACTATTTTATATCAAAATTAGTTTTTCTGTAAATAAAACCAAATAAAGTCTTTTGAATTAAAAATCAAACTTTTGTCTCATTTATTTGATTTGTAAACACTTTTTATTAAATCTTTTGTAAAACACTTTTTGGTAAAAAATTGTGTCCAAATATAGACCCAATGATTATATTCATAATATATGCAAAGATTGCAAATTAATTAGTGATTCAATAGTTTGTCTGTACTTTCATTTTACTCAAGACTTGTCTTATTTAAGATAATAATAGAAAGTATTTCTTAGACTCTGAAGAAAGGGTTTAAAGAATTTTTTGACTGTAAGTAAAGTCCAATTATTTTCATGTATTACAAGAAATGTGCTGTTAATCAATGGCTAATCAATGATTCAATAATTTTGTCTTAAAATTTAATAAAATTTCAAATTTAATTAATGTCTTCACACCAGAAGAATATCTCAGATTTTGGTTCAAAAATAAGAAATTTGTATATTTTTTTAAAATTCCGTTAATTTTAGATAATTTCCGTTATATTTAACATAATTTGAATTTAATTTATATATATTTTAATCAACGGTTCACTCAATCGCACGAAATATGGTTTCAATGTATTGTTGTGTTTAAGGGGTATATAAAGAGAAGTCATTTCAAAAATCAGTCAATCGTTAGGAAAATTTGAATTTTTGTAAATATCACAAAATTTTGAGTCAAAGAATGGAAGCAATCGTTGAAATCGATTCCGAAGAGGAGACGACATCTCCGCTGCGATCGGGCGGTGAAGTGGTTGAGAGCCGACGCCGGCGTCGAAGCCGTTCGGGCGGAAGACGAAGACGTCGTTCCCGTTCTGGTCGTCGACACCGAAGACGCGGTCACTCGAAGGGCGGCCGAAGACGCAGAAGGAGAAGGAGATCGCGCTCTGGAAGTGAAGAGGAATGAGATGTCTCTCCTCTCCAAAGACTCAGTGTTTGAATTCAAAGACTTTGCAATTTATATCAAAATTAGTTTTTCTGTAAATAAAACCAAATAAAGTCTTTTGAATTAAAAATCAAACTTTTGTCTCATTTATTTGATTTGTAAACACTTTTTATTAAATCTTTTGTAAAACATTTTTTTGGTAAAAATTGTGTCCAAATATAGATTCAATGATTATTTCCATTATTCCTATAAATGTTAAAATAACTGTAAATTAATCACTCATTTAATGGTATTTCGATCTAATGTTCGAATTTTAACATAGATTCTAATGAATGCGAAGACATCTCATCTGATTTGAGATAATTATAGAAAGTATTTCTTAACTCTTAAGAAAGCGTTTAATAAATATTGAATTCTTTAATTAAAGTCCAATTATTTTTATGTATTACAATGAATGTGCTGTTAATCAATGGCTAATTAATGGCTAATCATTGATTTAACGATTTTGTCTTAAATGTAATAAAATCTCAAATTTAAATAATATTCTTCACACCAGAAGAATATCTTAGATTTTGGTTCAAAAATGAGAAATTCGTATTTTTTTAAAATTCCGTTAATTTTAGATAATTTCCGTTATATTTAACATAATTTGAATTTAATTTCTATATACAGACAATTACTAAACCCTTTATCCCATTCATAAGCCTTATGTTGTAATAATTGGGATATAAAAAACCTCAGATAATGACAACCAATAACTCATACCAAGAGTTGGCAGAAATGAAATTATGATCTCATTTCTAGAGGAATATTGTATTCATAATTACACTTTAAATGCAGACCTTTTATAAGTGATGTTTTGACACATATTTATCCTTCAATTGGTTATAAAATCTTTAGGATTTATAAATGAATTGAAAATTAAATGTTTTTTCAAACGGTTTTTATTTTACAAAAATCTCATAAAAATGACTACAAATTTGGAAATGAATTCTCAGAGATATCTTTGGAGACCATCAGAGCTGAGGTCTGTCTTCACTCGTCGTCGCCTCCCTTTCGAGAGCGTCTTCTGCGTCGTCGACGGCCTCCACGACCGGATCGACTGCGAGATCGTCTTCCGCCGCGTCTTCGGCGACGTCTCCGACCGCACGACTCGTCGTCTCCTCCTTTGGATCTCCTTCTTCGGCGACGCCTCGACTCCTGAACCTCTCCTCCAGACCTCAGTCTCGGCAACAGTTCTGTCGTCTCTTCGGTTTCAACGGAATTCATGTTTCGATTGACTTTTGATTCAAGAATTTTGTGACAATTCAAAGGAAAAGACGTTTAGAAATGAATTCAAATTCAAAAGTCATCGCTTTTTATAGACAAATGTCTCAAACAATACATTTAGTAAAACGCGCTGTAATTTGATTGACACTAAATATACAATCGTTTAAATCATTGAAACCAAAAAAGATTGAAATAAATTCAAAAATAGTTTGTTTGCAACGAATGTCTCGAATTGAAGAAAAATTGAAAAACATATGAATAATACAAATAGTAATTGAATTTTAATCAACGGTTCACTCAATCGCAAGAAATATGGTTTCAATGTATTGTTGTGTTTAAGGGGTATATAAAGAGAAGTCGTTTCAAAAATGAGTCAATCGTTAGGAAAATTTGAATTTTTGTAAATATCAACAAAATTTTGAGTCAAAGAATGAAAGCAATCGTTGAAATCGATTCCGAAGAGGAGACGACATCTCCGCTGCGATCGGGCGGTGAAGTGATTGAGAGCCGACGCCGGCGTCGAAGCCGTTCGGGCGGCAAATGCCGAAGACGTCGTTCC